AAGGAGGGAGAGAAACATCAAAGTGAGACAATACATGGATCAGCTGCCTCCTGCACGCCCCCTACTGGGGATGGAGCCTGCAAACCCAGCATGTGGAGGTGGAGAATCTCTCAGGGGCCATCAGGAGCTGCTCCTGCGCCCTGGCTGCGGCTGCGGGTGCCGCCCCGATTGCCCCTCAGGAGCAGGGGGAGGTGGAGAAGCCCTTTGGGGTGATCAGGCTGGTGCCGGGGGCGGGCCTGCGGCACGGGAGCAAAGAATTTTCAGTAACCACCAGAGGCTCGCCCCAATGACAGTGGCAACCTGCTTGGACTGTCGCCCCCACTCACCTGCTTCACCATCCCACCGCAGCCGTTCAATGCCCACCATGTTCTGTGCGCGCTCCCTGGTGGTCAGTGCACATCATAGTGACTGGTTGTTCTGTTGTTCCATTGTTCAGTCTATTTGCATATTGGGGTTTTATATACTGATATATAGATAAGGTACCCTGTGGAAATACACACAAAACAAAGTTATTGATCGCTTGATGAAAATGCTTCTAGCCCTAACCAGTTTGGCTCAGTGGATAGAGCGTCAGCCTGCGGACTCAAGGGTCCCAGGTTCGAGTCCGGTCAAGGGCATGTACCTTGGTTGCGGGCACATTCCCAGTAGGGAGTGTGCAGGAGGCAGCTGATCGATGTTTCTCTCTCATCGATGTTTCTAACTCTCTATCCCTCTCCCTTCCTCTCTGTAAAAAGATCAATAAAATATATTAGAAAAAGAAAAGAAAAAGAAAATGCTTCTAGATGCTGCCTAGACTCTATAGTGGATATCCATTACACACACACACACCCTCCACTCTCCCAGGGATGGACATAGCACCACAGTATTCCTGCAGTAGATATCCCTGGGCCCTTCATGAGCCTCTGTGAGAACTCCTTTTGAATTGGAATTTCTACTCACAGGGTATGTTTCTACTTAATTTAACTAGGCATGCCAGATGACCATCTAGACCAGCGGTTCTCAACCTGTGGGTCGCGACCCCTTTGGGGGTCGAACGACCCTTTCACAGGGGTCGCCTAAGACCATCGGAAAACACATATATAATTACATATTGTTTTTGTGATTAATCACTATGCTTTAATTATGTTCAATTTGTAACAATGAAAATACATCCTGCATATCAGATATTTACATTATGATTCATAACAGTAGCAAAATTACAGTTATGAAGTAGCAACCAAAATAATTTTATGGTTGGGGGTCACCACAACATGAGGAACTGTATTAAAGGGTTGCGGCATTAGGAAGGTTGAGAACCACTGATCTAGATGCTCTGCACCCATTCCAAGCCCATCAACTCTGCCCACATCACTACCAACTCCTGACATTATCCAACTGTCTAAATGTCAGCTTACAAGTGATATCTCTATGTTTATTTGCATTTCTCTAACACTAATGCATTTAAATACTCGTATGTTCATGGGCTTATGGTTTCCTTTTCTATAAATCATTCATTCTTGTTGATTTGCAGAAGTGTTTTGTATGTTGCAGATTTAGCCCCTTGCTCATTTCAGACATGGTTAATTTGTTTTGCCTTATGGTTCATGCCTTTGAAGTTTTGTTTCCAAGCATTCTCTGCTCCTAGAAGGTTTTCTCCTACGTTATCTTCTATTAATTTCATAAGTTTACCTCTTACTTTTGGTTTGTTTATCTTCTGGAGTCCACTCTTTGTATGTGGCAATAGGTTAAGATTTAATTTTGTGGTTCTCCAGGTAGCAACTCACCACATTATTTTATATCCTGTCATCCTATTTATTTTTTATGTATCACAATCCATAATCTGGAATATAGCTATTACCACTGAGCTGTTTGCAGCTGTCTTTTCCCATCAGACTGGAGCTCCTTGAGAGCAGGGACCATGTCTGTCTTGTTTCCCATTCAGTTCCTAACTCGGGCCTGACACACAGTAGGAGCTCAAGGAATATGGGCTAGATGGAGGGAGGGGGGAAAGAAGAAAGGAAAGGATGGAGAGGTGAAGGGACAAAGGATCAGAGGGAGAGAGAGAAGGGTGGGAGGCAAGGGACAAGGGAGGCCTTCATTCCTTTTTGTAACATCAGTCCCCCCACCCCAGGATACTCCTGCCCAAATACCCTTGCTCATCCCCAGGCCTGGGCCATACACAAGGGCAAGCACCTGGAGGGCACTGACAAGGAGGACCCCTCTACCTGGAAGACACGGCTCCGCTGTGCTCTCAACAAGAGTGTGGACTTCCGTGAGGTGCGTGAGCGCAGCCAGCTGGACATCTCCAACCCCTACAAGGTCTACCAGCTTGTGTCGGACAGTGCCCATGGCCCAGGTACCGTCTTGCCCCTGGAGGTAGTGGCCAAGAATGGCTCTCTGGGCAATAAGAACCTCACTGTGCACATCATAAAATGGGAAATGGTGGGCTTATTGAGCTTAAACTCATGGGCAGGTACACAGAGAAGGACCCTTAGACCAACCAGTTAATCTCCCCATTTGAAAAGGAGGAAACAGGCCCAGAGAGAGGTGGTTCTTGCCTGAGATTATGCAGTGAGCTGGGGTACCCTTGTCTGGGATCATCTCAGTTGAGGGGGGGTCCCCTTGGGGCCCAGGAAACAATAGTCTATCTCTTACTCCATCTAGTTTCCAGGGCTAGTGCTTCCTCCGAAGAGGAGGGCGTTCTCCAGAGCCAGCAGGAGCCCCTTAGAGGAGTGATGGAGTCCGCCTGCAGGACAGACCAGGTCAGTGTGTCCCCTGCAGCCCTCAGCCTTGCCAGCTGTCACCTTGTACCCAAACCACCCTCTCTATGGTCTCCAACACATGCTCTCGCCCGCTCCACGCCCACCCTTCCCATCAGCTCTACTTCACCTGCCATCACTTTCAACTCCATCATTCTATTCACTTCACCTCCATCATGTGCAGCTCCCTCACTGTTCCCATCACCTCCATCATGTGTAGTTCCCTCACTGTCCCCATCACCTCCATCATCTTCAGCTCCATCACTGTCTGCATCAACGCCATTTTCTCCAAGCTTCCTCCCTGACCCCTCTTCACCAGTGGGTCCATTACCCTGACCCCAGTCACCCCATGAGATCCAGTTCTACCACTGAATTCCCTTCACTGTCATCACCTGTAGCTCTCTCACCCCATCGTCTCCATCTCCATCACTGTCTGTATCACCCCTACTATCTCCACCCCGTCACCTCTCCCCCATCATCAGTGGTTCACTGCTCTGTCCCCATCCCTCCATCAGTCTAATCCATTCCTCTCTCTCTAGTGCTCCTATCAGCATCCATTCCATCGCTCTGTCCCGCTATCTCTATCACTTCTGTTCCCCATTCACTCCTAGCATTTTCCCCCCTATCATTGTGAGCTTCATCTCTGACCCCATCACCTCCAACAACCCCATCAACTCTCTTTTTACCTCTATGGGGGAAAGGTCTTAAGCCCTGAAACCTCAAATTCCTGTCAACCCCAGGTGGCCTTCAGCCTACCCAGACCTCCCTCTGCCCCACGGCAGACAGTCTAGGAGCTCCTCTCCCACCTCACTACCCTCTCTCCTGGTGCTCAGGCTGGCTCTGGATTAGCCACCAAGGATGAGGACAGGGAGCAGCCCCCCAGGCTGGCCCAGCAGGGCTCATTGGCACCGGCTGCCTGGCTCCTAGGCCCTCTGGCTGACCACAGTAAGTACTGGGCTTCCTCACCCACCCTGCATCCTCCCTGGCCTCCTCCAGGACCTTGATCTAAGGGTGGGTGGTGCCTGAGTGCGTTCCCTCCGTCCCCAGGGTACCAGGCTCAGGACCCCTCACACTTCTGGAGCCCTTTGCCCTCTGAGGACTTCAGCAACCCCGGTAAGGAATCTAGAGGCTCTCCCTTCTGACCGCTGTGCAGGGCCGGGCTGGGGCCAGTTAGCCTCTGTCTCCCACCCGAAGTACCCAGCCCAGACTCCACTAACGACAGCCAGCTTTTGCTGAGGGCTTCGTCTCTCCCAGGCACCCTTCTAAGCTCTCCCCACCGTCCTGAGAGAGAGCGCCTCAGATGCAGAAGCCAGACAGAGGTTAAGGACCTCGCCCAGGGTCACACAGCTAGTGACCTGGGAACGTTCCTCACAGCTCCTAAGTGCCAGTGAGACTCGAAGCCCGGGGCCTGGCTGCAGAGCCCACAGCCCTAACCACTGAGCCACTGCTGGCTCCTCACAGGGGCGGCTGCTGCTCTGTGGTTAATTCCACCGGCATTCATGTACTTGCTGGGAAGAAGCTCCTAACATCCCAGCGGTGGGGCGGGAGGGCCTCTGTAATGGATGCCCCCATTGTACAGAGAGTCCCGGACTCTCTGCTTCTGAAGCTCAACCACCATTTCGTTTATACTGGAAGCTGCGATTATTTGCCACCACCGCCACTGCTAGGATGATTGCTATCACTTCTCGGGAGGAAGCGCCCAAACTTCCCGAGGTGGGGGGTGGGAGCCCCTCAGGGCCCCTGCCCTGTTGAGGGGTGAGATGGGGGGTAGGTGGGAGCTGGCGCGCCCCCTGGCCCCTCTCCGCAGATTGCTGGCTGCACGTGCGACTGTTCTATGGGGCGGAGCTGGTGCGGGAAGCCACCGCGCGCACAGC